CCTTTCCAACCTTAGTGATTCTGTGAAAAATGTGCAGACATCCCTCCAAAAACTAAATGTTATTGGTTTTATCATGCATACTTTTTGTGTGTTCACAATTACGGCCAAATTCAGTCTTACACTGAATTAATTAATATTGCTGGACACAATCACTGCCTTTCATTCAAGAAACAGTTGCTCTGCATAAGCAAGTTACCCTCTTTCATGAAACGAGGTAACTGAGACAGCAGCCCCTATCCCAAACACATATGAAAGTGTGTGTTTATAAGACAGAGAGGGAGGGAGACAGAGCAAGCACAGAATACATATCATTTCCACCCAAACAGCCAAGTCAAAAAACATTCAGCTTAAATACTGGCTGAACTGTTGTTTGATTTTGCTGCCTAGGGAAATAAACAGGTTTGTATTGAATGACCACAGCAGTTAGAAGGGATACTGTGCTGCAAACAATTGGCCAAAACCTTCAGTTATGATTAATGTTGCCACCTTTTAGCCAGCTCAGTTGATTGCTTTGAAAGCCGTGGGTCACGTTTCAGTCTAGTGTGACAGGCTGCATACCGTAATAGCTCTGTAGGTCTTTAAAAAGCCTCCAACAAAAACAAAGTCAAGACCTTCGTATTTCTAATAATTCCAAAATAAGCAGAAGACCATCTTAATTTGCTGTAGAGAAGCTTTGAAAGGCAGAAACATAATTCTGAATACTTATCAGATGATGTAGTTTCAGACTTGTTAATCGCTGTGTCCTGATGCTTAAGTGACACTTAATATTTTTCTCTTTTCAGTATTGTTTTCCAAAGTGTTAGCCACATCTTAGCCCTGTGAGGGGAAAATGTGCATTCATTTGAATGATGTTCTGGTTGGTACATTGAGCAGTAATAGAGGTGCCCAAAAATCAAGAACCAGATCCTGAAATCCCAAGTTTGACTTTAAAAAATAATTTAAATGCATGGCAAAATTAGGCTCCATTTGCCTACTGGTTTTTAGCCTTACAGGTCACATTTCAGTTATATTTTCAGGCTTCCACTCATAACCATAGGGACTGAACACTTTCCTTTATAAAATTGTAATTGGGATAACCATGTAGTTATTGCCTCCAGGTACCAGAGTGCTGTGCATAAAAAGTTCTGAGATAAAAATCATGCAGGTTGATACTATAGAGAATGATCTGATCCCTCGCTTCAGTTCTTTATTATTTCTAATGTGAAGTGGTGTTTGATAGCAAAGAAACTACCAGCTGCTGTTACAGAAATTTTGCTGATAGAGGAGTTTATTAATAACAACTTTAAAAATAGGCTTTCTAACTGGAATCTGCTATATCCCAGTATCAAGACATTACACTAGGCGACTATAAAAATTGTTCTCTCCCTTACTTAAACTCTTGATGCTGGGAGCTGTAATGTTTTTATTTGTGTGTAAAATAGGGAAATACTACTGTGATTTTGCTTGTGTGTAAGGGAAGAGAATAGTTCTTGTTGTTGTTATTAAAATATTCTAAATTACATACTGTGTATATTAGTATTCTCTAATAAAGCTCCATAGCTTCAGTTCCAGCCCATTCTCATTCCTGACTTCCCAGCTTCAACAGAGACAGAGGGAAAACAGATTTTGTGGCCCTGGCTGGGGCTGCATGGCCCCATGGATGGAGGATGGTCAGGAACCATCCAGCTTAGACCATGGATCATAATGACCATCCTAGGGCAAGCAAAGGCTCAACACAGATATTTGACAGATCTTTCCCAAATCTTAATAACCCCTTAAGGCAAGTGGAATGCTGTCAGACTTCTGTGAAATGTTGTGGACAGAACATCAGACATCTCCAAAAATTGCTCTGCACAAGTTGTTTTTTTGAGATACAAACCATATTGTTTTGATCCCTATCCCTGTGTCTGCTGTATACATACTAGATCTCAGTTCAGATTCCTTATTTGCAAGCAAGCTAATAGAGACGGCAGATTTAATTTAAAATTCTTTTTGCATCTTATTTACGTGTCTTCTGTTGTCATTCTGCTTTCCTCTAACTATGAACAGATGGGGAACTTTCCATACCAAATGAAGAAGGAGCTTTGGAGAACGGGCAGCCTCTGGGCTCTGGGCAAGTTTTGAGCTCCAGCCAGGTATCCCTGCCAGCCCTAGCAGAACTGGAGTCAGGTCCAGCATCTGGGGAACCCTGCTCATACGATGTGCTCCCAACCACAGATATCATGGATGGGACAGGTAACATCTTGTTTACATTATGATGTAGCTACTCTAAGCTGTTTGAAACAAGTTTCTGAATTCTAACATTTGGTGTCTAGCCCTGAGAAATCGTTATTGAAGACCAAGGTCTTGTGATGGAGAAGGTGACAGCATACAGATTGTCAGCGGATGCTCCATCAAAAATTTTTACTGACTTGGCGTAGAAGTAACCTCTATTTCTAGACAAGTAACCTGCACTTTGTCAACATTTAAGAGCACATTTCTGACTGTGGCTACATCTCAGCTGTGCCGATGAACTCTAGGGCAGAGAGCTGACAACATTTTTAAACCCTGGGGTACAACATCATGCCCTCTACCTGCTGGGTGCTGTTGGGTGACACTCATAACCACACAGCTTTCAGTAGCTAACGCAGCCAGCTGCCCTACCCTAGATGAGGCTCTCTGTGCTTCTTCCCCAACCCATGCAGAGAGACAGCAACGCTGTACATCTAGGTTACCTCCTCTTTCTGCATCACTTAATGCTGAGAGTTGTCAATGAAGGTCAAGTGAGGAAAAGTGACTGGTAGAAGTGTTCATCCATGATCTTGCACAGCTATGTGGCCTCTTTGAAATGGAGTAGGCCCCCTTGAGGTGCTTTTACATTTATAGGACAAGTTTAGAGACCACCTGCTAAGATATCTGGTCTCTTAGATATCTTAGCTCTGGTCTGAGCAAGCTGTGGTGACAGACGGTCTGAGATGGGGCATTTTAAGGCTCTTGATTTATGTTCAAGTTGTGGGAATACGTCCCAGCCTGGCATAAGGGAACTGGCTGCTGTCAGAGGTAATGGGAAATTTGACTGTTGTGTAGATGTGTGTTACTCTTTCTCTCTCTCCCCCCCCCCACTTTCTATGTTATATGATGTTTGAGTGAAATCGAATTAGTCGTTCTTAATCTGCATTGCTTGCGCTTGCTTTTCTATGGCTGTATCCGCTGCTGCTTTGCTCGTAACGTTGTTGCGTCTATGATGTGGTTGTGTCCTCCAGTGTCTGAAGAGAGCCCCACATCCAATGAATCCGGCATCCTTCTCTCCCAAGATCCTACAGCTAAGCCAGTCCTGCTACTTCCCCCCAAAAAATCTGCCGCTTTCCCTGGAGACCATGAGGACACCCCAGTGAAACAGTTGTCCCTCCTCAAACAGCCCCCTGCCCTGCCTCCTAAACCTATTGCCAGGATTGCCAGCCACTTAACTGGTAAGTAGGTGTTCCTGGAGCCTCAGCACCACTGTTTTCCTTATAGGAAAAACCTGCCCTTACAGCAAGGTTCTCAGTTGTCCTTCTTCCTTCTGTAATGCACATGTTGTTGTGTGTATTGGTAATGTATCTGTGTTGTACCTAGGGCTCGGATCACGAAGCATTTTCAGACTATGCTTTCATCGAGGTTGCTTCAGGGCACTTCCCCTCTCGGCTGTAATTACCTAAGACCACCACTGCATTTCCTAACCCTCCTCACTCTTCTTCATCAAGACTTACCATCACCACAAAAATTGCAGGATGTGCTTTGATGGGAAAGGAAGTATCAGGAAAATACTAGGGTATCTTTAAATGCCTTTAATGAGGAAAGGGGTGAGGACTGAGAGGAAAGGGAGAGTTTTGCTTTCTCCTTTTGTCCTTTGTTGCTTCTCCCCTCAACTGCCTTCTGGGCAGTCGGGACCTGCACACACCCTGTATCTTTCTATATGTTTGTCTTTCACTTGGCCCCCGATCCTTACACAGACCATTCTATCCCATGGCTTCTCGCCATTTTGCTTCCCTGCTCACACTACCTGCCTAAATGCTTCCTTCCAACCCTGCTCTGATGACTCCCCTCCCAATGGTGAGTCCTGATGACGAAGGGCAGCTTCAGTTGTCAATGATCAGGAGTTTGTGTCCTACATTTTATGCTGCAGTTTATCTCTCACTGCATGGCAGCTAGCAACTGTACAATACAGGCTCCTTTTCTGTGTTCCAGATGTTATCACAAGTGCCCAGGCTTTTTGGGATTCAAAGCTCTAGGTACATGTGGAAAGAGGATTGCTGGGTCTGCTTCTCTCCAGTCTCTCATTTAGACCATTGAAGCAAAGGATGGCTACATTTATACAAACCAAAAAAGGTTCCCTAAATGCTTGCCTGCACCTTTTGAACAGTCTGCTCATAATTGCAGCTGCTGCCCAGGAGGCAGCACCTCAGAACCCTGAGTTCAAGAGGAGGTGTGGTGCATCTCTGTTCTGGGGCAGCTACCGATCTTCTTGTGTTCATGCTGCCCTGATCTTTTCAGGGCTGATATGAGAAATGCTCAGTCCACATTAATGCATTCTAGATGTTGTTTGTTTTTTTTTTCCCTGACAGTTAATACCCATTTTATTCAGGTTAAGATATATATCAGGAAAGAGCTCATTAGGAAAGAGCATGTTCTGGTTTTCTGTCATATCTCTATGTAGTCTCTTCATGTTTCTGTTTGGATGACCGCACATTTTTGTTCTGTATAGTTTTGTTCATTTTATGTGAAATCTCTTTACTTTCTTGCCTGCCAAAATCTACACATAATGGTTAATATTGTGCCTTGTACTACAAACTGAATGGGCAGTTCTGCAGCCTGGAAAGCCAGGCAGCAGTATTAATGGCTTCAGGTGAGGACAAAACCAGCTTCCTATGATCTCCCATAATATTCTGTCCTTATTACAAGAAGCTGTTCAGAAATCAGGCCAACATAGAAGAAATAAAAAAAAAAAAATAGGACTAGCATAGGAAAAATAGCATAGGAAAAAAACTCAGGTACTAAATGTCCTTAATTCATAAGCCTTTCATTTGTAAGAGATAGCAGAAGAATCAGAGGATGAGGACTTCTGGTGTGGTTTTTTTTTTGTAGCTGGAAATTTTGTTTGAAGTAGAATCAGGCTCAAGCTATCAGAGTAAGCTTGATGGTGACAACTTTCCAATTAAAGTGAAACAGAACTGTGACTTCTCTTACTTTGTGGTGGCCTTTAGTGATCTCTCATCCAGCCCTAAGTAAATCCTTGTATGTGCATATAGACTCTTGTACGTTCAATATATAGAACCCTCGGGGAAAAGGAACAGAGATTTGGGTTTAGTCAATAGGGGCCTAATTTAATTGACAGTTATTCCTGGCAGAACTGAAAGCCTTATTTATACAATACCTTATAAATAAAAGTATTAAACTTATTCTTCAGGGTCCATTTACTTTGGTGGTCTAAAGGATATACATGTTGTTCAGTGCCTTGTGTTCTCCACTGGTAATTATTTTAGCTGTGTATAATCTTTGGAAATGATCAATCAATTCTAATGAAGCACCCTCATCAGTGAGAAGCAGAATTAATGCTATTCTTTTACTAATTACTCCAGAGACGCCCTCAGCTTGTGTGTGAGAAAACAAGTAAAATATGAATTCTGGTGTTTTGAGGTGAGGACTTTTCTGTTCTTGTTGCATACCCTTTTTTTACTAAAGATTTTGTGAGAAGGTTGAAGGACAAATTAAGACATACTGTGCATGGCTAATGGAGAGTGAGAGTGGTTTAATGGTCTGCTAGCTCTGTTCCAGAAGACTGCAAGGGGAGATGTGATCTTGTGAAGGGTTCAGGTACACATCTGAAAATGCAGAAGCGCCTCTTAACTTTTGTCTTAAGATATGTATATATGTATAGGTGTATGTGTACATATGTATATCTATATAATAGAAACATGTTTTATACAAATCTATATTATAAAATCACTACAGGCATGGTCAACAGGAAAAAAATAGAAGAGAAATATTTTAAATACAAAACTTGAGGAAAGAAAAGCTTCCTTTGAATCTAATCACCTTCTTGCTGTGAACTTATCCCAAAGTTCTTCAATAAGGGCATGAAGCCTGACTTGCAGGGTTTGGCAAAGGACTTAATACAGGTTTTAGAAATGGAAACAAAATATTCCTCACTTCTGAAAGTGTTTGTGAACCATCTCAAGCATCTATCTGCCTATGCCAAGACAAAGATTGGCCTTTCCCTCAATAAGAAATGTACATAAAAGAGCAGGCCTAAAATAAACATGTAAAAGCACATTTAATTTTGGAGAGAATGAGAAGGAAAAATCCGTTTTAACAGTGACAGGAAGAGAGAATTGCCTCTAGCAAATATAAATCACACAACCTTGGCATGCTGCTTCTTGAGGCTGAGGTACTGTGGGGACGGGGCCATGCAGGAACGGGGACAGAGCTAAGAGCACGCTGCAGAGCAGCCACTGGGAGTGGTGCCACCACAACTGCAGAAGGTGCTCTATACTTTGCCTCACGTCATCTCTCAAGCTCCTGATGACACTGCCTCCACAGGGAATGTCCATACCACAGCACTGGGTGTGGAAGTGACCATGCAGCCCTAGAAGATGGGCAACCCTAAGAGAAAAACATGATCCTTAGCTGTTTTGATACCGTTGTTTCACTGCTCCGCATTTGCTGTTAGCCATTTACCTCACAGTGAGCCTTCTACTGGTTTTCAGATACGATTATTGTTAGACAACGTTCACGGACAGAATTTCTTTCATCATTTCAATTCTCAAATATCTACATGCAGAATTCAGGCATTTAGGACAACACTTGCAGCCCCCTTACTTCACTGAAAATGAGGGAGGAACTGAAATAATCACCTGGGACCAAATTTAGTTGGACTGCTGGGGTGAAGTCCCCAGATTATCATAAAAGCTTTCATGGCCAAAATTGACAAGAAGACTGGTCATATCTGATTTGATAGATGACATACCTCAGTGGTGTAAAGCTCCTTTTGATCTTGATTCATTAAGCTGTTACTTCTCACCAGCACAGACAATGTTTTCTGAAATTAATTAATTTTTTTCCATCTTTGAAACCCTCTTCAAGGCTCTCCATGTGAATTCATGCAGAGCTGTACTTTTCAACCTTTAGGCTAAGCATGCTTTTCTTTCGTTCTCCAAATTCAACTTGAACCTTGGATGCATACATGGTGCAGAAGAGCAGCAAAGAATTTCTGTCTTGAATCTTCCCTGAAGACGTGGCTGCAGATCTTGCTGTAGTCATCAGGAGATGCGTGGCAAAATTTTGAGAACATTTTTTAACTTGTCTTTATGAATCTGTTCAAAAAACTCATTGAAAGAAGAAAAGAGACTCCCCCTGTTCAGGCACAAGTGATTCCCAGAGAGAAGACCTGAAAAAGTAAAAGCTACTTGTCCAAATGCTACCAGCAAATAATCAGGCACATCACCTCATTTCCACTGTGGACCTCCCTCACAGGCCATGCTGGTTTTTGCACTTTTTTTTTAACATTACAGTATTAATTACTTGGATGGGATTTAAAGAGTAACTCATTAACTTTATGCTGGGTTGTATTACTTGTATATAATACAGCAAAGGTTATAGTGTAAGGTCATTCAGGCGGGAAGGAACCTCAGCAAGTGTCTAGTCCAACCTCCTGCTCAAAGCAGGGCCAGCTACAGGATCAGATCAGGTTGCTTAGGGCTTTGTCCAGCTGGGTCTTGAAAACCTCAAAGGATGCCAGTTGCACAACCGCTCTGTCAAGCCTGTTCCACAGTTTGGCTCTTCTCATGGGGGAGATTGTTTTCCTTATAATCTAGTCCTGAACCTCTTTTGTTTCAAATTTTGCCTACTGTCTCTCTTCCTCCCACTGTGCACCACTGTGAAAAGCCTGGCTCCACCCTACCTATAACCTTCTCACAGCTACTGGAGATTCGCTATTAAGTACCCCCCCTGCAAGCTATCTTTTCTCCGAGCTGAACAAGCCCCAGTCCCTCAGCTTCTGCTCACAGGTCAGGTGCTCCAGACCTTGACCATGGCAGTGGCCCTCTGCTCAACTCATTCTGGGATTTTTCTGTCTTTCCTGGAGGATCCTAGGCTTGGCACAATAATCTGGAAACAGTCTAAGGAGTGCTGAATAGAAGGGGAATAATCCCTTGATCTCTTGGCTGTGGTTCTACTCATGCAACCCAGGAGGCTGTTGGCCTCTTGTTGGCAGCATAGCAAACACAGCCAGCTCTGCCACAAGCCCAAGATTCACAGGCATGCATGCCCTCTCCTCCATGCAGTCGTTGTGCTGAGGCAGAATTTGAGTATTTTAATGAGCTTTTCTGCCAGCCCTGCTGGAGCAGCATTTGCTGCCATACATCCAGAACTTCCTAGCACTCTGTCTGCAACATGTGCCAGCCAACTCTTCAGCCACGTTCAGTGGCTAGGAAGCATCAGACTTGGTGTACAGCTCCAGTGTACCACAAACACGTCAGAAGAACCATACATGAGCAAACCTTCTGTGCAGCAAATAAAAGTATATTTATCTGTCTCCTGAAAACCTAAAAGGAAATGCAGCAACTGTAGGTGTTAGCAAAATTATCTATATGGAAGGGGTAAGGGCTGACCTGTTTGTAATAGGTGTGATGTGCAGCAAATATTGTGGCATCCACAACTATCTTTTAAGTAATTAATTGTCATTAGCAGTGGGAAGATTTCTATGTCTAACATCTCTTTCATCTATTCTGGCACAGTTATTACTTAGCCGTGCACAGTACTGAGTGGTCACAACCCTGCTGGGAGCCAACATCTTGCAAAATTGCTCATTATTCTCTTGAGCGTAAAGAACCTCAGCCAAAAGAGATTAAACAGACTTGCACTTCGGGCTTCACACAGTTTGTTTCTCATCTGTCACATGAGCGCTTTGTGCAGTGATTTAAGCCTCTGGTAGTGTTCCACTGAGAAGACACTTGTCATAGATTCCTTGTTTATATTTCCACTGTCCAGCTTCTTATTCATCTACAGATGCCCATGTCTGATGGATATTCCATGCTGGAGACAGTAACGGTTTCCACCCCTGGTTCATACATCACATATATTGTGAAATCAAAACAAACGGAGGAAAGAACTGTAAAGCACAGTCATCTCACTCTTGTACGCAGGGACAAGTTGTTCTCTCGTTTACTCCAGATGATGGTAGTGCAGTTTCCAACAGTGTGCCTGCAGCCCAGGGATTTGAGCAAGGCTCCATTTGTTCAGCATGTTTGCTGATCTGACCACTCAGTAAAACTTGCAGTACAAGGTCTCCGTTACTGTTGTCGGTGAAGATATATCGATCCGTTTCTGAGTGAATGGATCGAACTCTCCTCCCATTGCAGTCATTCTCCTTTTAGCCATTTTTTTTTTTAACAGACAAGTAGAGTTCTCCCAGAGGTGAAGGGCAGACAAGTAGATTTAATGCCTTTAGTTCATTTTCAAGGCTCTATTTAGGTATTAGGGCCATATTCAGACAGGCTTAAGAACTTGTGTGAAACACAGTCAGTCTGAATAAAGCCTTAAGTTAAAAATAATGGACAAGATTTTTGGCAGGTCTCCAGTGGAGTCACCCAATACCACTGAAAATATGTTGATGTGAAGGATTTCTTTAAATTTACGTGGAAACTAAAGGTCCATACCTTTGTTGTGAAGAGTGGAAACCAGAGTATGCACATTGATTCATGATGGAGTATGTGGTTATTCAGTATAATTAAGCTAGACTTGTTCTTCCGTGCAACTCCAAAGCTGCAAAGCCTCTATCACAACTTCACTAGATGAATGCTTGCATGAGAAAGGAAAAGAAATTTTCACTATATTTTAGAAGAAAGATGGAAGCATTCCTGTTTGCTTTATACCTTAACCATTTGGCATGTAACACTCACTTCTAACATACAGTATTGCTCTAATCTTCAGGATCACAGAAGGCAGCAAACCCAGTTGATATTTCCAGTTATTCTTTTGTCAGAAACAAGAGAAGCCTGCACTTGGGATCACTGAATTCACTAACAAGGAATACTCCCCTTATCATACACTGAGTGGTGGGGCGTCCAGGCCCAGGCACTGTCAGTTGAAGGCGTTAATTGAGATACAGCAGAAAAGGATCTAAAACTAACAGTCAAAGCTGCACTTTTCAAAATGGAAGTGCAGATCTCAGTATAGTCTTTGTAATTCAGGACTAGCTCTAGAAATGAAATTGCCTGGAGCACAAATTTATGAAAACACTTTGTTACTACAGATCCCATAGGAGCCTTACTCTCAGGGGTCTATACAATTTACTCTTTACTCTTTGTTATTTACCTTTTATTGAAGACAGTGTGTTTTTTTACGCAGGATACAAAGAGGAAATATGCACAGATAACACATATGTAAGAAAAACGTGATAACTTAGAGAACTTCCTGTGCTTGAACAGAAAATCCTGAAAGTCTTTTTTTTCTACTGTACAGGACAACTGCTTTAGAGGAGAGGTCTGTGCTCTGTGGTTTGGCAATCCCATGAGTTAGATTTCAGCCTTGGTGGAGCCATCAGAAGAATTCTTGCCTTCAAGAACATGTCAAGTGGATATGATAGTGCATTGAAAGACAAAAGATTTGGGTTTACTCTGTGTAACTCTCTGTCTCTGCAACGTGGGAAGGCCACTTTCTCTCCATGCCTCTGTTTCATCTTTGCACTCCCTTTGCCTCTCCTATGTCTTTAGCCTATAAGTCCTTTGAAGAAAGAGAAGACTTACTGTCCGTGTGTTGTTCCTAGTGTAGTAAAAATACTGGTATCAAGTGAGCACTGTGGATGCAATGAAGCTATGACTAGCACTAAAAAAAGTGTAATGTCATATCTGAGCTTGGCTCCATGCGTGGTCTTTTTCCACATTAATCATTCCTTAAACATTTTCAAGAAGTGTTAGTGCTTGGAAGTACTAGTGTTAACCTTGTGCACTGTGGCTAGTAGATACGGGTACTAGTATAGGCGATATCGAGAATAGGCCAGGAGGGAGGAAAGAATAAAGGGGGTGAGGGGAAGGACAGTTAATGCTAAAAAGAACCGTCTGGAAAAGGTCTTTAGAAATCTGATGTCAGTCAAGATGATGATGACCTCAGAAACTTAGAGAGCAACATCTTACTCGCAAGCTTTCTCAGGTCAAAAGAAGATTCTGGACCTTCAGTTCCTTTACCATGTTACAGCAAGAAGAGTGGATTCTGGACCTTCAGTTCCTTTACCATGTTACAGCAAGAAGAGTGAACTGAAGCAACAAGAGGCCAAAAAGTGTGCAAGCCTTGCCTGAAGAGCTGCATTGCGCAGCCAAATGTCTTCCATATTCCAGGCTGAAAAGGCCTGGCCTTCCTCCTAAACACAAACTCACAGTTGCATGAAGCTCACAGTGTATAGATCTGCTCTCATTTTTGCTCTCAGTGTGTGTTGTGACTGTTTCACACACCCATCTTGGGAACTACAAGCCCTGGCATTACTTTTTCTCCCTTCTGAAATCATTCCACAGTGCTCCAAAAATCTCCATCCTTCAGTTGAGTCCTAGCAGAGAGGTTTGCTTGTGGTCCTCTCATTGATTTCCCATGGAAGTCAGGGAAGTCATTGCCTGGTAGGTCAACTATGTGTTTCAATGAACATGCCTACAGTTAAAAAGGTTAAAATTCAGTGCATGAGTCCAAAGAAAAGTGCCTCCCAAGTCTTCTGTAAAAGAATACATTAATGCTAACAATCTTCTGCCCTTTATCATTTTCTCCTCCGGTATCCTTTGTTTTTCCAGACCACTCCTGTGTAATATTTGTTTTTTCTCTTGCCCTACAATGTAATTTTTAACACCAGATGTTTTGCACATTACGAAATTGTAAGAAATATGACTTGTAGTAATTGCACTGCAGTGGCTGAGAAGGATCAGGAATCCCTAAGCTTTTGCTCCAGCAGTGAGAGTGGTGAGTCATCTTGTAACTTTAGACACCAAATTGCTCTCCCCATATTTGCGTGCCTATTGAGTGGGAGACATTGCGCTTACCTCACAGGGCTGTTTTGGAGGATTAAGGCTTTAAAGTATCAAAGTGTGCTACAAGCCTTGTTAAGCATTGCTTAACATGATTATTAAGGGGCACATACAGCCCTGGGATATTTTTTGTGAGACTCAAAAGTGCTGCAAAACAATGGTACTTTTTTCTGAAGACAGTGCTGAGCACATGCTGTACAGAGTTGTCTGTCGCAGCAGGGAAGGGGTGCGCACTCCCATGTTGACTAGCAACCTCAGTACCTGCTCACCCAGGCAGATACTCTCATCTCCATCTTACTGCCATGAAAATTAACATCAGGGCCTCTCTCTCTTCTGTTTTAGATCCTGGTGCTCCTGTGAAACTGCCTTGTATGCCAGTTAAACTGTCACCTCCACTACCTCCAAAGAAAGTCATGATTTGCATGCCTTTAGGGGGGCCAGACCTCTCTCTCTCATCCTATTCCACACAGAAGAGCTCCCAGCAGCCCTTGACTCAGCACCATCACACTGTCCTGCCATCCCAGTTAGCAGCTCACCAGCACCAGCTCCAGTACGGCAGGCACAGCGCATCTGCCTTCTGGGTCCAGCACGTTGCCCATTCACCCTTCGGGATGCCGGATGATAGAGGAACTCAACAAAACACTAGCCATGACCATGCAGAGGCTAGAAAGGTAATGGATCAACTTTTAAAATTACCTGTTGATGTGCACTGTTCCTTGCTAACCTCAGTATCAGTATCACAACTTGAGTTGTGCTGGTAGTGCTTGAATCCAGCCACAGAGACAGGGAAAGAAAAAAAGAGCCTTTCCAGGCTTTTTTGACAAGTTTATGGCAGAAAGGAGAAACAGATCGAATTTCCTGAACCCCATTGTCCTGTTCAAGGAGCTGGATAATGCAGCCAACGGAGAAGATGTTAACAGGACATGCCTGGCTTGCAATATATACTGCCGAGTGCGTAACTCCGGTTATGTGGAGGATTGCCAAACAAAAAAAGGAGAGGAGGTGGAAGATTCAGAAAAGAGCAGTAGAAACCAAATGTGCTACTCAACCAGGACATCTGATTAACATTACCAATTAGCTTGAAACAGCCTATGAGGACTTCCTAAAAGTCACTCGGAGGGGTTTTAATGTACTATTTCAATTAATTTAAATCAAATTCTATGTTTGATCTTAAAGTAAGTATTTAACCCATTCCAGAGCAGCTACCTACTTAGCTGTTTGCGTCTGGAGCAAGGTTGTACATTTGATCAGAAGAGCCTTACCCACCTTGGGGCTGTTTTTTATTACTGTCACTTGTGGGTATCTCTGAACCTTCCTTAGCACAGGAAAGACATGGACCTCTTGGAGCGAGTCCAGAGGAGGGACACAAAAATGATCAGAGGGATGGAACACCTCTCCTATGAGGACGGGCTGAGAGAGCTGGAGGGGTTCAGCCTGGAGAAGAGAAGGCTCTAGGGAGACCCTATTGCAGCCTGCCAGTACTAAAGGGGGCTCATAAGAAAGATGGGGACAGACCTTTTATCAGGGCCTGTTGCGATAGGACAGGGGGTAATGGTTTTAAATTAAAAGAGTGTAGATTTAGACTAGACATATGGAAGAGATTTTTCACAATGAGGGTGGTGAACCACTGGCACAGGTTGCCCAGAGAGGTGGTAGATGCCCCATCCCTGGAAACATTCAAGGTCAGGTAGGGGCTCTAAGCAACCCGATCTAGTTCAAGATGTCCCTGCTCACTGCAGGGGGGTTGGACTAAATGACGTTAAATGGTCCAACCCAAACTATTCTATGATTCTATAATTCTGTGAAATAGTCTGAATAAGTGAAGCATGTTGTATAAATGCAAGCTGTCCTCATAGACTGCAAGATCAGCAAGCTTTGGAAGATTTGTCTTGTAGAGGAAAATTGAGCAAGTCCCAGAATAGGGAAGGTAGTCCAAAAAATGGCATGTTCTATTTAGTACCAGGGCAGCTTTGTAGCCAGCTTGTTCTAGGATCATCAGATCATCCTTCTGTTAGACAGGAAGCTAAAATATTTGGTCTAACAGACAAAATGTCTAATGATTTGCTCCAATACCTCTTTGTAATAATGTTACCTTCATTATAGTATTAGTTAAAAAGAATTCGATCAGGGATGGCAGATTCTCCTTACTGCATGGAAAACAGTCAGGGAACCAGAGACTGTCCCACACTGCCAGCTTAGTTTAGTATCAGGATAGTGAGACCTCTGTGGTTATATCAGGGGCTGATGTTTCTGCAGCATGGGGGAATCCTCTGCTGTGGAAAAACTGCTAGGGCTGTGAGGGAGATTCCTACTCCCATCACTAAAAGGCCTGTAGTGGTAGGATTGGAAAGAGCATCTGCATTCCCCCCCTGTGCCCAGTGACTACCCACTTTCCTCTCACATTGCCAGCAGGGCTGGTCAGATGCATCTGCATAGCTCCAAAGCTTGGTGCACCAAGCACAGAGGGTAGCTGGTGTCTCCCAAAGGCTCCTTTGGGGCTGCACTGCCAATGCCATCCCCAGCATAGGTCAGATGTCTTACTGTCTGGCGCACAGTGCATGTAGAAGGCACTTTGTTATCCTGAGCCCAGTGACAGCTCTCAGAGTATGACTTCATTGTGGCATCTGTTGCCCCACAGCAATGAATGCTCCAATTTCAGGGCATCCATCAAGTTTATGTCTACAAATATGTTTAATTGATTTAAAGAAGGTGATGCTGTTTGGTTTTAACTATTAATTTGAAGCTGAAACTCTGCTGCTTGTTAAAACTGAATAAGCAAGGGTTCATTTCCCAATACGAAGCAATTGCCACCCTTTACAGAAGAAAACAAGAAAAGGTTGTGGCACTGATACTTCACATTTAAACTGAAAATGAGTCCTAGTTCATGATATTCCAGACGGTTGACTTTTCGTAGTCTTTTTGTGTTGATTAACTATTATTTCAATCTTGAAATAAAGTATTGACTACTTCAGTTATTCTCCTCATCACAACAAATCAATAATGTTTGCATTCACAAGAGAGAAGGTAGGTGATGACTGTTTCCTCTGCAACAGTAATTGTTATTTCCATAGTATTTCCAGGTAAAAGGGTCTGTGGAGCTGACACTTAAGTTCTTAAAGTTTTGAACTTAAGTTTTAAACTGCGTTTTCAAGCCACATTGTGATCTTAGTATATTTGTTAACTTTTCTTGAAAATTTGTGCAGATTTTTAAAGTACATATATTTAACTTGGGAGAGGATTATTTGCACAAAGTGCTGCTGTTTTCTAATACTTTTAACAGTAGTTCTTTTTTTTAATTATATAAAACCTGGATTAAACCTAGTGGAAATCATGCTACAGTATTTGTCATTGGATACTTCAGCCCAGAAGTCTTGAGGGCTTTTTAAAACCACACAGATCCTAGACCTGCTTTTCTCTATTTAAAATTTGGTAGTGTGCTCACATCTGTTCCATGCATAGAATATGCAGTGAGATCCTGAGCTTTACTGTTTCTTCCAGGATAACGTGTTACTGGGTCACTGCTATTGGGTCGACAATCATGAGGGGATGACAGAGCCTGATGGATCTCTCAGACGCTTCCTGGGGAATACTAAGTTCATTGGCAGCATTTAATTTTGCTGATCTCGTTCTTTATCTCGGAAGAATCCTATAATATTATAGAATAATTGCCATGATGCTGCAGTAATAATGCTGCTAAGCCTGGCAATTTAGGAGATTATTTAGAGTAGTATTTTGGTTTTAATAAGGGAGGATCATGTAGACAAGTGCCGATCAGTTTTCTGCTCTAAATTTTTTCTTTTTTTCCTTTCGGGATTTTTTTTTTCTTCCCTCTGTCTAGTTTCTTTGATCCTGGTGCTGTGGAAGCTCCTCAGGTCTGTTAAACTCCACTGATATTCACTGAATCCAGAACCAATTTGTATCAATTGCACATTTTTCCCAGTAAGCTTTTCTTAGTCCTACAACTCTTTACCTCCACCAGGACTGTGAGTGTGGACAGGAACAAAGAACAAAAGACTACAACATCCCCTTCCTTTAGCAATCTGGATTTTTTGCTTTCGCAGATGAGGTCTCTGGAATTCAGATAGTCTAAAAACATCTGAAGGCTGATACCTGAAATCAATGCTTTGCCAATGAGCCAGAAGCTTGTCAGAGAAAAATGAGCTGTCCCTCTGTACTGGCCTGGAAGCCAGAAGTTATTTTGCTGCCTTTGACCTTGAGAAAGCTACTGAGCTTCTCTACATCTGTTTTCCCTTCTGCAGGAGTGGTTGCACGTTACTGCCTCATCTAGATCTTAGTGCATATTAATAAGTTAATGTCTTAAATTACATTAAAAGCATGTAATAGCTATTCAAGTCCCAGTTGTTCTTATGACTTAAAATTACAGTTATTTCTGGATTTTTAATTCAGTTTTATTACAGACACTGTAGAACATGAAGTTCATTTGCACACGTAACACTTTTGATTGCAGACATTTTCTGGTACTTGTAACATCTATTCATAACCTATTCTCAGAAGGTCAATCTGTCCCTTGTCATAGTATGACTATTATGACATGTCATTTGTGCTGCCAGTTTGCCTCTATTTTCCTTGATAAATTACCAACTTTATGATAGATTAAGTTGAAAGAGAGAAGAGTGTAATTTCCGTGTAACCTTTTTTCTGCAAGCTCTGTTGTCAATTTGTGCCCTACTGCAGATGACTTTCCCCTTCAGCCCCAAGGGTATGTGTCAAGCATAAGCAAAGCTCTGCATTTTGGCGTCATTTTTACCATTTCAGAATGCATTTTAAGAGTTGGTGAAAATCTCATAACCCCTGCCACCAAAATCCGTGGAAGACTTGATCCTCCTAACTGAATTGGAGAGGAAAGACCATGCCCAAAAGCCACGCATCACAAGCAGCAGCGAAACAAGCTTTAGAAACCCTCTTGTGCCACTGGAATGTATCTTTAATTTTGACTTAGAGAGGCAGCTTCTTCAACTGAAATAGCCATATTTTCTGCCATGCCCATATAATTCTTGGTCTGTCTGGTAAAACGACAATTAATTTCAATTACTCTGTGGGCTCTTGTACACTCGCAGCTGAATCAAGGCCTCAGTTTGTTCAACGTAGGTACTAAAGAGCTCTTAAGTGGCAATATCTCACCTTGAGCTAGAACTGCATCTGTGGCAGAGCAGTGAAAAATAGCTGTGTCCACAAAGACAGTGTGTGAGACCAGTTCCTCTGGGACACCAGTTCAGCTTCAGACTGTAGATTTATGAAATTAAATGCATTTAGACATTCCTGCCAGAGTCTTGTAAATCTTATAAAACATATTTGAGTCTGAAAACATTTATCTTCCATAAAACTTGTCAAGAGAATTGCTTTTTGTCTAAACTTCAGCATTGCCTAAGGATAGAAACACTTAATATTTATAGCTCTGCTTTTTCTCTCTGTCTCTCACACATATGCCTGTATTGTAGAAATGTATATACAATGGTTTGAAGTTTTTTTCCAATTTCTGTTTTAACTGATAAGTACAGAAGAGTGTACTGGGGATCTGAAAACACGCTGATAAAAATGTAACTCTTTATTCCAAAATCAAAGCGCCTGGGATGACAGATGAGAAGTGTGTGGTTTTTTTCCCACTAGATTTTATAGGATGGATTTCACTTTTTTCTTTTTAGATTTTGTCTGTACTATGAGTCATTCATATATTCAAATTCTGGTTTTTCATTAAAATCTTTTCTCACTAGAAACATTGCAAGCTATAGTGGTGTAACTTGTTTGCTGTTTTGATCGCATGAAGATGATGCAACAGTAAATACAAGTGCTTATACTAGTCACCTATGAATTATTCAAATCTACGTGTTAAGATACTTTTCTTAAACCAAGTACTTGCTTAGCTGTAGCTTTGTTCTCTAATTTTGTTGCAAAACATGAAGCTGATTATAAATAGACACTTTGAAACAATAGTGTGCTTTTTGGTAAATAATGCTAAAAAATTTTGTGGTGTAGACCACTTGACCATGTCGGGTTTTTTCTAATGACCCAGAGGAATTTATACACAATGGAAATATCCAGTGACCTTGATTCGTCTTTCTTAAGTATACTGCAATACTGCATGTATTTCACAAGTCCTTTGCTCAGACAGCTGACTTCATCAAAAAGATGTGGAAAATGCTGATTTTAATCAAGAAGAACACAAAACACTAGGAAAGATGAGGGACTTAAAATAGAAAGTAGTATTATCAAGGAAGTGGATGATTCAGAAAAATTACAATGAGATGAAAAGCCATCTATTTCTAGATAGCTAGTTCAAATAAAGATCTAGTGTGGTAATTTTTAAATCTTGTTGCCATCGGATACCTGCTTGGTAACCGAAACTGGTGAACCACTTTGATACCTGCTACTGTACATGCATGCCCATAAGGGTGCATCTGTAACCTACATACATCCTTCACAGAACAAGGAAGCACCAAGTGGTCCTGGATGCTGAACTACTTTTTGCTCCCTTCATTTTTACTTCCAGAGGGACTTAGTGAACTTGTACTAAGTCTCTGTGTATGTGTTGTTTTAAAATTAACTGAATGATTTAGTGGTTGTGTTCACCACTGGAAGTTTTTTGTCTTTTTTTTTAGCAATGTTAACAGAATTCCACAGCATTTTAGTTTCTCTTGGAAATTTAATTCCAGGTTTTTTAACTTCCTACCTGTTGCGGTTTAACCCAGCAGGCAGCTAAACACCACACAGCCATTTGCTCACTCCCCCGCAGTGGAATGGTGGAGGGAAGCAGAGAAAGAAAGTAAAACTTGTGGGTTGAGATAAGGACAATTTAATAGGACAGAAAAGGAAGGGAAAATAATAATAATGATAAAAGAATATACAAAACAAGTGATGCACCATGCAATTGCTTACCACCCACTGACCAACGCCCAGCCAGTCCTGGAGCAGAAGCCGCTGCCCCCTGGCCAACTCCCGCCAGTTTGTATGTTCAGCATGATGTCACATGGTATGGGATGTTCCTTTGGCGGTTTGGGTCAGCTGGCCTGGCTGTGTCCTCTCCCAGCTTCTTGTGCCTCCCCAGCCTCCTCGCTGGCAGGGCAGTGTGAGAGCTGGAAAGTCCTTGACTGCTTAGTGTAAGCACTGCTCAGCAACAACTAAAACATCAGGGTGTTATCAACACTATTCTCATCCTAAACACAAAACACAGCACTATACCAGCTACCAGGGAGAAAATTAACTCTATCCCAGCTGAAACCAGGACACTACCTTACCTCTTAAAAAGAATTACACAAAAAATAGGTTACAGAGAAAACAAATTTTTAAAATGAAGGTAATAAAATTAAAATTATTAAAGCACATCAATAAATTAAAGGGGAGTTGAAAGTTTTTAAAGACTGTAGTGCATTCATGTATTATTAGGATAATTCAGCTGATGAACTCTATAACCACCTCCAGGATAAAAACAAAAATGGGTCAAACTCATTGAAGTCTAATACAAAAATTTACAAGCCAGTTCTTCATGGATCTTTCATACTTTGTATGTAGTATGGATTATCACTAAGGCAATGGAGTGCCTCTCTTCAAGGCATCCAGTAAAGCTATGCATCTCGTTGTTGGTTAGTCTGCAGTAGTAAATGTTGCAGTTAGCAAAACTATTTCTTTGAAGAAAGGGAAATGTTTCAAGTTGACTCGGTAGAAAATCACTTAAAGAGAAGAATACAACTGCAGAATGCCTCTGGTATTCTGAACAGGCTAAACTATTCAAGGAAATTGAGGCTATTCAGCACTCTGACCCAAATTTGGGTGCCTCAAGTGCAATTTGGCCAGCACATCTGGTTTCGCACCCATGTTCTTCTGGAAAGTAAAATGGGAGTTTCACATAGAAAGGGTGTCTGACGGGAAAATGTTCCCCAGCTTTTATACAGCCATTGCCTCTGCTGGGACTTAAGAGAGAGATCGGTTTCTGCTGAGTCACAAATAAACGTGAGCAGCCGTCATTGTTGCCTGCCAGTCTCTCATTCTCATTTAATATTGGAGAAGCAACATGAGCTCTTAGATAAAAATGGGCTGGGGAACTTGGTTCTGTTCCTGACATTTCCTTTCACCTTTTGTTTGACTTTGATCTTTACCTCCTCATATTCCTGCTTCCCTACTTGTATTGATATGTTCCTTGATAAAGGACTTTGAAATAAACATATAAACAGAGCTAGATGGGAGCAGTACTGACAACAGGTCTGAACCTAGTGAGCTGCAGGAAATGATCAATCACACTTTATGTGACAGAAGACATAGGATGTTAGCTCCAATTCAGATTGATCTCCAGCACCTGGCTGGAGTGAGCAGCCAGGGCAGGAGGAGGGATGTATCACCACTGCAGCCCCTACAGCATGTAACTGTACCATTAGCAAACAAATCTCTCAGGCTTTAGCTCCCTCCCGTTGTTATTCTCACCAGCTCCCAAAGTCTCTTTTCTCCAAGCCCAGTTTGACATGCTTGTTCCCCTCCACTTCAGAGGGTTGTGCCTTTGCCTTCCCCTCAAGTCAATCAACATCTACTTGCCCAAACAGTGCAAGTCATGGTTTTGCTATGCCTTTTCTCAATCCTCCTCTACAATCTATACATTTCCTTCCTCCACTCTCTTACTCCACCGTTTGCATTCAGATGAGACATTGTCTCCTTATTGCCTGCAATGCCAGTGGAGAGGTCACACAGGCACTGGACTGAAGACATGCTTATCACTCTGAGTAGCTGGTGCAATTCCCGCTAAGCCTTGAGACTCCATTTGCCGCAGATCTTTTGTTCTCAGTCTTGGCTGTCAGTATTTCTGCCTGCATGCTGTCCTACCTTTCCCTAACAAGTGTTGTACCTTAACTTTAGTGTATACTCAAGTTAAACCCATTAAATGTCTCGCTGGTCATGAAGATCTTCATGTCATTTCTTCTTAAAAAGGGATGAAAAACCACTGCTTTCCTAAACACAGTGAAAGAAGCAACTCAGTCTTCCATTGATCTGTTTCCTTTATTTTATTTATTTTTTTTTCTTTCCCAGCAGCTCTGGCTTACACACAGGTGACAGTGTTACAAAAACAGGACCTGGGGGCCTTCCAGACATGAGACAAGTGCCAACTGTTGTGATCGAATGCGATGACAATAAAGAAAATGTGCCTCATGAAACCGACTATGAAGATTCTTCCTGCCTCTACACAAGACAGGAAGAGGAGGAAGAGGAAGATGAAGATGAGGATAACTCATTATTTACAAGTAAGACTCATTCTATTTTTGCTTTCTCATTATTTTTTCCTCTGAACTCTCAGTACAGAAGGGAAACACAAGGCCTGTGAATTTTCTTTCTCTACTGTGGCTTTTGCATCTTTCACAGGGCTTGACTACATGGGGACACTTGGTGAATTAATCCAAAATAACAAGTAGTATGAATCTATAGTGATTTCCCTAATCTACATGAATCCTTGTCTGGGTAGCTGTCAGACAGAATTCAAATGACTGGGTTTGGTTTATATTAGTTCACTTCCAAATTGACTTTTGGATTCACTTTCCCAGGTGTCCGTGGTGTAGAGAAGGCCCGTAGAGTTTGGCTTAAGTCAAGATCAGCTCAATAGAGTTACTTCAGGAGGATGAAATAAGTGCCACTGATAGAGAATCAGAGCTTTTATATATACTAAGTATTAAATCATGTCAGAATCATAAGTCTGCACATACTTCGAAAGGGATTGTGATCAGAAGATTGGGCTTAGATAAGAAGAGAAGAGGTTAATTGATAGCCATATCGCAATTACAGTCTGGAGAGGGACCTCTGGCCCCTTCCTGACCTGAGGAACCCATCTCCTGCCTCAGTGTGGCGTGATAGGGCTCTCCCATGGAGACAAAATACCATACTGTCATGGTTTATCCCTACCCAGCGACTAAGCACCAGACAGCTGCTTGCTCACTGCTCCCACTGGGATGGGCGAGAGAATGGGAAGGATAAAGGTGAGAAAACTCGTGTGTTGAGATAAAGACAGTTTAATAAGTAAAGCAAAAGCTGCGCACGTAATCAAAGCAAAAGAAGGAATTAATTCACCACTTTCTGCTGGCAGGCAGGTGTTCAGCCATCTCCAGGGAAGCAGGGCTCCATCACGTGTAATGGTTACTTGGGAAGACAAACGCCATCACCCCGAACGTCCCCCCTTTCCTCCTTCTTCCCCCAACTTTATATGCTGAGCATCATGTCATATGGTCTGGAATATCCCTCTGGACAGTTGGGGTCAGCTGTCCCAGCTGTGTCCCCTCCCACCATCTTGTGCACTCCCAGCCTACTCACTGGTGAGGCGGTGTGAGAAGAGGAAAAGGCCTTGATTCTGTCCAAGCCCAGCTCAGCAGTAACGAAAACATCTCTGTACTATCAACACTGTTTTCAGCACAAATCCAAAACATAGCCCCACGCGAGCTACTATGAAGAAAATTAACTCTATCCCAGCCAAAACCAGCACACATACTTTGTGTATGACAACTGCTTGTCATCCTGCTGGTCATTGAAAGCTGAAATTTCAGGCCCTTGGATTTCTTTTCTTTGGAAAACTGAGAGCAGTACAAACAAACAACACCCTTTTTAAAACACATACAAAGAAGTTTCTAAAACAGGCATATTTAATCTCCTCAGAATCCACCCTTACCCTGCAAGTGAAATGAAGCAGTCTTTGCTCTTAAACTAAGAAACAGAGCAGAACTGTACTATCTCACAGTCTACTGCCAAAGCCCAAAATCTGTCATGGGTTTGTGTCTCTGCTTGTGTCTGTCTTCCCTGCTCAGACTGCTTTGGATGCAAGCCTAGGAAAGCAAGCTTGAGCCATGAAAGGCCACTGGTTTTCACAGTGTCTTTGCCACTGTCACTGCCTGAGAAGAAGTGTCAATTAATGTACATAGAGGCCTCTGCTGCTTCTGATTGACTTTTGATTCCTTCTAGTGCTAGCTTGGGTGTCTTAATAGTACACTGCAAGAGAGTTACCTACTCTGCTGCCTGCACAGATTCTGAGGTTGAATTATTCATTCCATTATGCGGTTCAGAAACACTGTGCTAGAGAAAGCTACAGATGCTGCTAGCAATTCTGAAACAAGCCCTTCTTCACTTCCCTCTATGGAGCAATATTTTAATTTCTTTTTCCTGTATACCTACCAAATTCAGCTTTGCCTTATTATGATATGAATTGAGGTTAATTGAGCACGTGAAGCTAATTGACAAGCCTTTTCCCATAGTCCATATCAGTGTAAATGAGAGCCTAGTATCCTTCCTTGGCTAGCACTTCTTTGCCTACTGCATGCTGTAATGAAATGATGACACCTCCTTTGGCAGAGCCTTTCCTCTCTCCCACAGGCTCCCTGGCAATGAAAGTCTGCAGAAAGGACTCTTTAGCAATCAAACTAAGCAACAGGCCTTCCAAGCGAGAGCTGGAGGAAAAGAACATCCTTCCTATGCAGACTGATGAAGAGAGGCTCGAACTTAGGCAGCAGATTGGGACAAAGTTAACAAGGTAAGAGATTAACATTTTTCTAATTCTTGCTTCTGGAAATACATGGTGGGATGCAGTTTTTGTCCTTAATCTGTAAACATTTGAGATCTGTTTGTTCACAGTGTTCAAGAGGAAAAGCCGGTGGGGGGTGGACCAGGAGACTCTAGACATTATTTCTGCTCCAATATAACTTCCCATACAGTGCCCCATTTCATTTTCCTGACGTATCCTATGGGATCTTTGGTTTTCTTAAGTATCAGCATGAACTGTGTGGATTTGGTTCTTTTGAGTGCACCATTGGGAAAAGTTGAGCTTTGATAACATTTTGGAATGTAGCTGCAGGTGCCATTTGATAGACCATTAGTTTGGCCAAAGGGCAGAGGTATGATTTTCTTTTCTGACTGCATCTCCTGTGAGTAGCTGAGTCTTTTCCTGATCCAAAATACTTACATCCTTCAGTACCTGCTTTTGTTGAGTCAGGTTGGACAGATTTACCCTGCCTAGACTCTTCCTACTTCATGCCAGTGTTACTCACCAACTGGTCTGGTTTTCTGTATTGCATGGTGTATAGAGGGGTTGCCATTAAACGTGGAAGATTTTTGTCAAGAATTAGTAAACTGAGGTCAGGTAGAAATGTTTAAGAATCTCCTGTGCTCCAGCCATGATTTCTGTAATCAGTTTAATACTGTTACATTACCAACTTGTCGGTGTGCAGAGCTGGTGAATGCTGTTAGTTACCCTCCAGTGTGATGCTGAGAAAACCACAAGACGCCCAGAGAGTTGTTGGGAATTTTCTTGTGGATTTTTTGGGGTGGGTTGGTTTTTGGTTGGTTTGGGGTGGGGGGTGGGGGCTAGAGGCAGGGCTAAGGGGAGAACACTGCTACCATGTTGTGGAGACAGGAAGAATAGGAGCTCCTGGTAAATACCTCTTTCGATATTTTACATGCTTTTTTTTCATGGCCTTGTTACGCCCTCTTTGAAATAAAATAACCACATCTTTCCGGTCTGTCTTTGAAAGTCTTTGTGCTGGATCAGGCTTAGGCAACTCCAACACCTAATTCTTCAGTATTCTGTTGAAGGGCCTCAGCAGTGATGCCCGAAGTATGCAAGACGATGCTACACTGTTGCTGGTACTGTGATTTTTCAGTCCAGTCTTTATTCAGCCTAATACCTTGTTAGACTTCAGCTGCACATGGAGCTCAGGGTCCCAGAGAGTAGCACATGATAGCAAGGTTCCAGTGTTTATATGATTTTTTTTAACCTCTTTGAAGCATGTGAAGAGTTGTCTCTTAGCATGTCTTACTGTGCACTGCTTGACCTTGCAATGACATTGAACAGCATTTCCACTGTGTTGCCCATTTGCCTAAATTGCTTCGGTCTCTCAGAAGTTTTACATCTCTGTCTGATGAAGGTAAATAGTGTCATTTGCAAACATTGACTCTGCACAGCTCAGTGTGCCCCAGGTGATTTTTATTATAAATATTTTATATCTCACCTCTCCAAAACCTACTTTTTTCCCATTAAAGAATGTTTCTTCAGCATATCTCTTTTTAACAAGGGAAACTAATTTTGGCACCCTTCCTGTGTAAGCCCCATATTCTCACAGTGTCGTTGCTTGCTTCCCCAATTGCATCTCTGCTCATTCAGTCTGAGGTATAATGCTTGATCGTGTCTTCTAATATAGCTAGGACTTAGACGACTTAGAGGCAATCACAAATAGTTCAAATAATTAAGACTGTGTATATACAAGCTCAAAAAAATAGCTGAGCCACTGCTGTTTTATTCCAGTTTTATACCATACCAGTATAACATCACTGACATCATTGGTATAATTTCACAAGCCTTATCTGGAATAATATAGTTGCCAGTCTGACCTTTTAATTACTAGTATTTACAACTTAGTATCTCATCCTTTTGAGTAGTTAAAAACAATCAAGAAATATAAGGAGAAAACAACTTCCCTCATCTCTAATATGCAAAAAGCCACCGATGTTTCAGCAGCAAAAAGGAAGGTACCGTTCTTACCAGTGCTTTGTATCTAAATGCGATGTATCCATGTGCACAGACTGATGAATATTACATTGAAATAGAGAGAATATTTCAACCTGGACAGTATTTCTTTACTGTCCAGACTTCATTACTGAATCCGTCCTTTGCCATTGCTCAGTATTTGTCACACAGTGATGCAAATGCCAAGCAAAATTAAAGTAGTGAAGCATTTATAGTCCTTAGAGAAGACATTAGATGCAGACTATAATTGCAGCTGGCAATTTTGGATTTCAGAGGGATTTGTACTGTTCCACGAATGGTCCCTTATGGTTTAAAATAGCCAGCCAATGAAATCACATGTGCTACTTACAGAAGTAAAAAATGCAGAATAAAAACTTCAGCAAATAGTTCTTGTCTGTAATGGACAATTGATTTTCACCAAGGGGCTGATTAAGATACTTCAGTATTTATTCATAATCCTCACAGTATTTAGTTTGGAAGAGCTCAGTGGTTGCCACATTTGGCAGATCAGAATTTAGTACTGTAAAGAAAAGATCATTTTTAAAGATGCTTATAGCCAGGAATGTTGCGAGATTGACCATGGACATACTGTGTGGGACCAAAATCATCCCAGGTGTAGTTCCTCTAGCCTTATTAGAGTTGCACCAGGAATCAGTTTGTCTCAGAACTGTTTGTTCCTATCCTGTTTAAATGTAGCTTGGAACTTCTGAACCTCAAATTAGTCCCAGAAAATTGTTATGACTTTACTATTGCATCCACCAACTGGAAGAGAGACTCCAGAGGGGACTTCACCATGTTGCCTGTTTCCCGTGCTGGGAAAATAGTGCCCTGACTTACACCAGACCAGTTGTGGGGGTAAGACTGCAGAGATCATATCTTACAAGCAGGATCTGGCCCGCTACACACCTGAATATTAGCACAGCCATGAGACCAATTAAGACCTTTGTGCCTGTTGTAGAAACACTTCACATGAATGTAGTGCTTCACTGATGTGTATCCTGTAGATCCAAGCAAAAATGGAGCTTTTCGCCTAAGATGGCAAAATACGTCCTAGAAAAAGGCAGGAGATCCCACGTCACATGAATTCCAGCTGCATGAATAGGCCACTGCACCATAGACTATTTCTAGGCAGTTTTTATACAGCAATTACAGCAACTAATTAGAAGACCTCCTCTTCTAGTCCAGAATGGAATACTCCAAAATGTGATACCTACTACCAAGCAAAGACCAAACAGTGAATTAAGATACAGAACTTCAGCTCATAACCACATGTGACTTGGGGATAGGAAATGCATGCTGGAGGCCATGTTCTTAGCTGCTAAAAACCCTTACAACTCCATTAACTTCTACTGTGAACTGCAGACCTTCTGTGCCAAGTTCAAGTAAAATTCAAGTAAATTTTGAAGTGGGTATAGTTTTCTTTTTTCCTGCCTGCTCAGCTTCTCCCAAACTCCTCCTCCATTTTATCCCTCTGGTGCCTGCACAGCTTCACAGCTGCTCAAGAAGTGCGTACAAGTGACCATAAGACAGAAAGGAGAAAACAGGAGGAAACACAGGACTCTGAAAGTTGACAGGCAGAGGGAAAAGACAGACTTCTGCCTTCTGCCTGTCTCGCTGGCTATGTTGGACCTGCTGGGAAGCACTGGTCCCCTGGTTATTCATGTTAGAGCAACAGGGAGGAGGACTTGGATTTAGCTTTTGGTGGCTATCAAGGTGAGAGGAGTGGGGCATATCTGTGCTACGCCTGTGAAGCAAGGACTCAGACAGGCTCTGGATCTGAGCTTCAGGGTTCTCTCAGGGGCAATGATAAAGGCATGACCTGTCAGGAGCCCCAGTGAGGAGGAGGGCCAGCACTGATTGGTGTTGCACAGCAGAGCCATGTGTCTCCCAGAGACTGTGGGACTGTCCCCTGGTACTGAGATGGGTGCTTCGGTGCTGGTCCTTGCACTTCTGTTTCACCAAGGAATCGTAATGGTGATTGTAAGAGACCACACAGATTTCCTTCATCAACATATTATTTAGTAAGCACAAGAGCTCTTTAGAGAAAATATATCTATATTTTTCTGTATAGCTATACACTACACCAGACTTTGCTGAGGACTTCGCACTCTCTTGAACTGGGAAGACCTGGTTTCTTTGTGTGTCTTTCACAAAGTCTGTCCTGCACCTTGAGAAAATATGTGACTTTAGACTATGTATGTGGCTCATCTGCCACACATCCTATGAGAGAGGCTTTCTAAAGGACTAAAGTCTTTTTTGAGTCTCTTACCCCGCCAACTCTAGCAAAGGTACTCATTAGCAATTAGATACAGAAGTATTAAAGCTGAAATCTTGGTCCACTGCTTTTCAAGAATGCATGGCAGTGTCCTTATGCCAACAGCTGTCAGTTATAGGAGTTACGTTAAGCCCTCTGCATATTAACTAGCTAATTAAATAGAAAATAATTAAATTAGAAAGAAATAAAGAAGAATGTAACTTCTTGCAGTGTCCACACACTGCCTTTTGCCTCTCTCATGACTTTGAGTGATGGACATCCCATTGCTTGACTGAATTCTGTGAGTGTGTCACTGTATATGTTCTGCTGGCTTTAAAGCAGTGAATCAACGTCAAGCTCCTCTGTCAGATATACAGTTGTGCTGTGCATTGTTTTTTGTGTAGCCCTAGATTTATTCACTACAATACCTTATAGGGTGCTGTCCTTGCACCAGCAAGTGGAAACTCCTGCTCTGAAGCAATATAAATAGTATATTGCAAGTATCACAGGGCAAAGGATAGGAAGTATGAAAATAGATCACAGAGTCACTGGGTGCATATGGCTGTAAATATGTACATGTGAGATACGGACATGCACACCTGCTAGATGTGTTTATAGTCCCATTGATGCTTTGGAAATAGTAGTGAGATGTCTGTGACTGAGAAATGTACCATGAAAAGTCATAAATCTTTGTTATGGAGTGGCAGGTTTGACAGATGATGGTCACCTATTACCTCGATCAGAAGGGTAATCTACT